TTTTTTTTTTTTTAACAATTTGCTTGTTCAACACTAATAGAAACTTTTATTGCATTTTACAAATGTCACTTTAATTAAATCTCGAAAATTAATTTTGTTAATAATTGTTTAAAATAAAGTTGATGTTCAAACTGAAAAAAACCACCTCGAGTGTAGAAAAAATTATGCAATTAGTAAGATAAATTTAGAATGAATTTGATAATAAATTTGACTTATCTTGAAAAAAAAAGAAAAAGATTTTGCAACTCATCATCCACGAAAGCAGACAACAGATGATGCTTTAATCAGCTGTTGGGGAGAGAGAGGGATTGAGGGATCCCTCTGGTGTATTATAAATATCAGGTTCGTATATTAGGTATAATATAAGAGTCGGCGTTTTTCTGTTAACTCTCGACACTGCAGTGCTCAAAAAAATGGCAATCATGAAGCTAGTGAGGTAAGACTGAACAGTGATTGTTTATTAACCAAGTTCGAATGCATTTGAAATGTAATAAAAAAAAAAAAAAAAAAAAAAAAAAACCCTTGAACTATGTAATATGCGCATGTAATTTAAACACTTGTCCCGAATAGGTTATCCTCGCAAAAAAATATATACACTTGTTGAACAAAAACTCGGCTGAAGAAAAACCTTTGCGCAATCGATATTCTCGCACTGCGAAAAAAACTTTTCAAGTACAACACAATTCTGGCGGGGGTGCAAATGGAAAATCAATTTTTCCAACGCGTACGTGGGTGAGGTATATGTTGCGAAGCCGGGCAAGTGCATCAGTGCAAAAAAAAAAAAAACTTCTCTACTCGTGCTCAGGCGCACTGCGGTACCACCACGTTGATCTATATAAATATAAAGTGCGATGCTTTTTTGGCATGCAAGCTCGCAGAACTTCTCTGTTTTTCGCGAAAGCCACTTTTCAGAACATTTAAATTTTCAACACTTGCAATTAAAAAATTATATAAAATTTGGTTTTTGCTGTTTAAAAGCCGATGTAGCTTGTAAGCCCGATTTTGCAAATTGTGAAAATGGTATTTGAAATATTACATCAATTGAGTAAAAATAAAATGTCACGAAATTGCTGTTCGATAATTTTTTTCTTTTTTCGTAATAGATTTTTGTAGGGATAATTCTGTGAAGAATCAATTTTTTAAATTAAAATATGATAATAAAGTTTGTGTTTAACAAGTGCTACAGCATAGTTGCCATTGGCAACTCGAGAAACAAAAAAAAGTTCAGTTTCTAAATAATTCATTAGGTAGATATACTCAAGTATGACAGGGCGATATGTTTAAAAATATCTTTATTCACTAAAGATAATATCCTATACTGTGTAAAAGTTAAAAATCAGAAAGTGCAATTATCTCCACTAATCAATAAAAATACGCGTCAATAAAAAAAAAAAATAAATAAATAAAAGTATTATTATAATAAAAATTATACTTGGGTTAATTAGTAAGAAAATAGCAGGTAAACTGCAGCTGTTTTGCAATGCTTAAAAATAATACATCAACATCTTGGTAGCACAAGAGTAAGGTAGGTTGCTCTAAAAATAATGCATTTGTGTCCTATGCACCTAGCCCCAAGTCAAACTTGAAGCTGTACAGCTTGTTTGTGGTGTTGAAAAGCTGTCACAGGAGCATGGCCATGCAGACCGTGAAGCTGTCATCTGGGCAGAACATGCCCGTTGTTGGATTGGGGACATGGCAGGTGACTGAACATTAATGTGGATTCAATGTATAATTAATTAACTATGAATTTGTTATCTTTCGTTTCAAACCAAAGTTTAGAAATAAATTTTGACACACATTTTGAGAAGTACAGTTCCAGGTAAAAGTATTCATTTTGTTGCAGGCACAACCTGAAGAAACAGAGGCAATAATAAAAATTGCATTAGACAGTGGCTATAGGCATTTTGATACTGCATTCAATTACAACAATGAGGAAAGTATAGGAAAATCGATAAAAAAGTGGCTTAGCGAAGGAGGAAAGCGTGAAGACCTTTTTATAACGACAAAGGTGAAACTAAATTTTAAAAAATAATTAATTTATAGCAATGAGGATCGTCAGTTTACAGTTAAAAAATTTTTCAACTATAGCTCCCAAATTTTGGCAACCGACCATCGGATGTTGAAAAATTCTTGAATTTGTCCTTACAAAGGCTGGGACTGAACTATGTTGATTTGTATCTGATCCACATGCCCTTCTCATTTATTCAAGATAAAAATTCTTTTACACCAGCAATCAATGAAGACGGGTCTTTCATGCTTGATCTAGAGTCTCAACCAGTGGCAGTTTGGAAGGTATAGTGAAAGCAAAATTTATGTATATTGTCAAGTTATTAAAAGTTAATGATTCATAGGAAATGGAGAAGCAAGTAAAAGCTGGAAGAGCAAAGTCCATTGGACTGAGTAATTTTAACATATCTCAAATCCAAAATATTTTGAATAATTCAGAAATCAAGCCTAGCAACGTGCAGGTACAGTATATTGTTGTGAATCTTACAAAACATTTGACCAAACTTGAAATCATTGGGAATGACTTCTGTATTCAGGTTGAACTTCATGCTTTCATGCAACAGAAGCCGCTCAGAGACTTCTGCAAGCTAAACAATATTTCAGTAACGGCCTACAGTCCTATTGGATCACCAGGAACTAAGGCACACTTCCAGGCAAAATACAACTACAGTGTTGAAACGTTCCCAGATTTATTGGGACATCCAGTTCTCAATCAGATAGCTAGTGCACGCAATAAAACACCAGCTCAGGTGCTCCTACGACATGCAGTTCAAGGAGGAGTCATCGTCATACCAAAGAGTACTAATCCAGAAAGAATAAAGTCTAACATTCAGATATTTGATTTTAAATTGACAGACGAAGAAATGGATAAACTGAATGCCTTAGATCAAGATAAAAACATGAGGATTTTCGATTTTTTATTTTTCAAAGGGTGAGTGAAATCAACAAGTTTCTTATGCTTAGGTGGTAATTTTTTGAGGTTAGAAACAGTGAGAAAATATATTTTGTTTCGATGAATTTTATCGAATGATTAAAAAAATTCACATTATTTAAATAATTAATTATAAATAAAACTCACTGTTAAAACTTTTATGGCAACTTGCATATTTTGTTTTACTCTGGAAAGTAGATACTTGCTTTGGCGTTAAAACTGTACTCATTTTGAAGTTTTTCTTCTTTTCCGCAATTTTTCCTTCTAAAAATAACCAATAAATGCAAATAATGAATCAACNAAAAAAAAAAAAAAAAAAAAAAAAAAAAAAAAAAAAAAAAAAAAAAAAAAAAAAAAAAGATACAAGAAACGCGCGAAATCTTAGCGCGCCAACAAAGAAACTTTTCAAATGAGTTCTTAACTCGCGTAAATTCAAAGTCATAAACGTAATCAAGATAACAACTATTTATAAAATTCAACCTTTCATTGACGATTGTACAAACTTTCCTTTTCTTTCAGGGTAGAAAATCATCCGAATTATCCTTTCAAAGATGAATTACACTGAAATGCGAGGACATGAAAATATACTTATGATTAAAAAAGAATGTTAATTTATTTTGTAAAATAATGTATTGTGTACGATGATTTAAAAAAATGTTGCTTTTTCCTAAGAAAAGTTGTTATGTTTTCTGTTCCATCAATCATTATTTAAATTTCTTCACACACATATATTTTGATGACTCATGAAAATGTAACGAAAAATAAACAAAAATGTTTCATAAAATACGCCAAAAAATGTTTGCCCGACATTTAGCAGATTTTTTGAATACATATTCATCATCGCTCCAAGAATCGGAAATGGCTCTGTTTTGCCACCATATAAAATGGTATATATTAGCCATACGATAGTATCAAATCCCGTAACTGTATCGAAAGGATATATAAAAGAGAATTATACATAAATTATGGATGAAAAACAGCACTTCAAAGTCTTTTCGTATATTTATTTATTTTCGTATTTATTGGCGGTTGGAAAATTCATTTACGTATATACATAACGTAACAGGTTTGGGTTTTAATTTCAATTTGTATTACGTGAATAAGCGCTCACGGTTGCTTTTATGTATAAGTATAATGTTTTCTTCGCGGCGCTCGATTGGACCAAAGGCAAAAAAAAAAAAAAAAAAAAACGATATAGGCAAGTACTTTTCTGTACTGAATGGGCTTTATAAACCGAGCGACATTAGCAGTGCAAAGTCAGTGTTTACTTGGAATTGCGGATAAAAAGTGGACAATTCGTCAGTCATGATTAGGATCAGGTAAACTATTATTTGAAAGATATTAACGTGTGTAAGTGGACGTATTGTTGTTGCACAAGGACCTGTTGTAAAATATAAAATTATGTGAACTTTTGTTGGAGTCTAACTGTATACGAAAGAAGCGCTGGTTTTCTTGTAATACATGTAAGAATATGTTTAAGAAATTCAATACTGTTTTTTTTTTACATTTTTTTTTTTTTTTCTAGTTTGCAAATCGCAATTGCAATTAGTTGCTATACCATAGCTACCTCGGGAGTAGAAGCCGAAAATGAATTCACCTTAAAATCTGGTTATAAAATTCCAATGGTCGGCTTAGGTACTCATGGGGTGAGATGAACAATATTTCATTGATATTGATGAAAAAAAGTATACATGTATCGTTGGCAGACTTGGGTACCACAATCATTTTACGGAATGTTAAACACTTTCAAAGAAAAACCAATTTTTCATCAACAAAGTGAATTTTTTTTTGCCAAAAAACTTGTTCACTTGTACATTTTGTAAATTAGAGTTTATTGTTAATTAAAGTAATTGAAGCACTTTGAATCTTTTTAGTTCTAGAATGTTTTTTTTTTTTTTTTTTTTTCAAATTATAATACGTTGTTTTTGCTGGAAAAAAATTATGTCAAAACTGTGAAACAGACAGTAATTAAATAATATTTTTTTAGCATCAATAGCGCATAACATTTTTAGTAAAACATTGTATTGCCAAAAAAATTGATAAATCATTCGTATCCAAGTCTGATCGTTGGATACTGGAGTTATAAAATTCGTAAGTAATGACTGAATTTTCGTGAGCAGCTCGACAAAGAGGAATTGGAGAGCATTTTGACACCTGCTCTCGACAACGGTTTGAGATACATAGATACGGGATTCATGTACGGAAACGAAGAGACGATCGGCAAAGTTTTGAAAAAGTGGTTCGACAAAGGAGGAAAGCGGGAAGACGTCTTCGTCACTTCGAAGGTACACACAGACGGATCCATCCAAATATACTTAATATATATTGTTATACCTTTGGGAAAGACAAGAGTTTCATTATTCATACTTTCAGCTACCTTACTACGACAACCACGGAGAATCGGTGGAAAAGTATCTGAAAATGTCGCTGGAAAAATTGGGACTGCAGTACGTGGACTTGTATCTGATACACGCGCCGTTTGGCGTGCTTCGTAGTAACGGTGGCTACGAAATTGCCGTTAACGAGGACGGAAGCGTGCTGTTGGACCACAACGTCGACCACAACGCTATATGGAAAGTAAGAACTTTATTAATTTTTTTTTTTTTTTTTTATAATCGGTAATAAATCGGCGCTACCATAGCATCGTACTGGTGTAATAAAACAGAATTGAATCTTTATGATTACATATATATATATAT